GCTGGAATTATAGATGTGAGCCACTGTGCCCTGCCTCAACACCCTTTTCATTATGAAATGTTCTTTTATCTCTGGTAACACTTAATGTTACCATAGATACTTCAATGTCTGCCTTTTCTGATTAGTGTCGTGACTCCAACTTTTTTATGACTAGTGTTTGCTTGATATACAGAGGGTGCTAAAAAAAGTAGACATTTTGAGAATGGAAAAAAACTATTGAAATTTTAGTACTCAATATTAACGAAAATGAAAGGTGAATACAAGTCACGTTTGACTTCTGCAGTTGCAAGAGGTGCTGAAAGTGGTTAGCATCAGCGTCCAGACACTTCTGATTAAAGTGAACATCTCTTAACATCGCTTAAAATATGTATACTTTTTTTTGGCATCCCTGATATCTTTTTTTTCCATTCTTTTATTTTTAACCCATCTGTGCCCTTGTATTTAAGATATATCTTATGGACATTGTGTAGTTAGGTCTTTTTTATCCAGTCTATCCCTGACCTTTTTTTTTTTTTTTTTTTGAGTTGGAGTCTCACTCTCGCCCAGACTGGAGTGCAGTGGCACGCTCCCGGCCACCACAGCCTCGACCTGCTGGGCTCCGGCGATCCTTCTGCCTCAGCCTTCCAAGTAGCTGGAACTACAGGCACGCACTACCACACCTGGCTAATTTTTTGATTTATTGTAGAGATGAGGTCTCGCCAAGTTACCCAGGCGGATCTTGAACCTGCGGCCTCAGGCAATCCACTCACCTCAGCCTCCCAAAGTGTGGGATTACAGGCTGAGCTCTGACCTTTAATTGGAGTGTTTACTCCATTTACATTTAATATAGTTATCAATATGATTAAGTGTAAATCTATTATCTTGACAGTTGTGTATGTCTCTCATCTGTTCTTTGTTCTTTCCCTTCTCCATTCTTCTTTAGGTTTATTTATTTATTTGAAAGAGGATTTCATTTTATCTCTTCCATTGGTAGCTACATTTTATTTTAAAAGTTGCAATGGAGTAGGGTTCTCAGCATCTACATTATTGACATTTTGGACCAGATACTTTTTGTTATGGGGGTAGACCTGTGCATTGTAGGATGTTTAGCACCTTCCCTGACCTCCACCCACTAGTTGCCAGTAGCATACCCCCTGTTGTGACAATAAAAAATGTCTCCAGTGATTGCCAGTTATACTGGGGGGAGGAGGGAGGCAGCAAAATTGCTCTTGATTGAGAAGCCAACGTTAGAGCTTACAATATGCGTTTTAAATTTATGGCAGTCTGCTTTCAAATAATATGCCACTTCATGTATTGTGTTAGGATCTTAAAACAGTACTTCCATTTCTTCTCTCCCTTTTTTGTGCTATGGTTGGCATACATTTTAATTCTGCATATATTATATACCTCACATTGCATTGCTAATGTTATTGCTTCAAACAGGTGATTTGCTTTTAAAGAAATTACAAAAGAGGGGGAAAAAGTCTTTAATATTTACCAGATTCATCTTGTACTTTTTATACTCCAGCCTTGGGATCAGTCATTTCTTCAGGGAACCTTGGTTCCTTATAGTGGAAAGTAATAATTAAGAAGCTAAGATCTGGGTGCTAGATATGCCCCTTTCTAGACGCATACATATTAATGTCTCTGTTTCTATATATTGAAACTGAGTTCATACTGATACATTCAATTTCAATCAAGCACTGCATGTTAATTCTAGTTTTCTCCCTTCCTCTTTGACAGTGTAGAAAGTCTAACTTCTGTGATCTTGAATGTGTTTACTTTACCAGTTTCTTGGTGTATAATCAGTCTCTTATTGTTGATGCTGTTGGCCCCTACCCTATGAAGATGCCCTCCTCACTCCATTGAGACTCTGACATCCTGCACGCTCTTAGCTCGCTCCACCTGAGTTCTGACACCTGCATCCAGCACCCTTTTGCTTGGATGCCTGTCTTACCCTGGTCAGTTCTGACCTGTGCCAGGTGGTTTTTCCACCCAGAAGCCCTCACCCAATTTGAACTCTTCATACCCGCCATGGCTACCCCTTTCTGTGGACACCCTGCTTAACGCGTTGCAGTCCTGTGCTAGGTACCTCACACTCCTAGAAGCCCACTTACTCTCACTTGGGTTCTAACTCTACATGTTGAGCTGTCCTGTGAACTGCCCGCAGTGTAGACACCCTCCTTATCCTACTGACTCTGACTCCCATCCTAGGCTAGTCTCCATAGTGGGCTCTCGTACCCCACGTTGGCTACACTTTCTTAGCTGCTTTGCTGTCCATGTTGCTTTGTGCCACCTAAAGGCTTTAGTATTCAGTTGTTTGGGAAGCTCATGGCAAAGGAAGAGAAAGAAGACTTTGTGTTTATTGAAACATTGATTCATTTGTAAAGATAGATTTGTCTGATAATTGTCTTCTCTAAACTTTAGCCTTCCTAAAGGTAGCGACGGTTTTATGGATACAAAATAGACTCTCTAGGATCTAGCATCAAGTATTTAGTCAATAAATGTTTATCAAATGAATAAATATTCAGAGAGATTAAGTACGTTAATCGTGTCACATAGCTGTTATGCTTTATGTGTTGAAGGCATGATTTAAGTACAATTTTCTGATTCTAAAGTAGCCCTGAATGCTTTTACATCAGATACTTTTCCTACACAGAAGTATATGGAGATAAAATAGTTCAGTTATAGAGTTACCTTTGAGTCAGTGTCTCACTCTGTCTCCCAAGCTAGAGTACAGTGGCAAGATCATGGCTTACTGTAGCCTCAATCTCCTGGGCTCAGGCAATCCTTCTGCCTCAGCTGTAGCTGGGCCTACAAGCATGCACCATCATGTCTGGCTAATTATTTTATTTTATTTTTTTATAGAGATAGGGTCTTGTTATGTTGCCTAGGCTGGTCTTGAACTCCTGGGCTCAAGCAATCCTCTTGCCTCAGCCTCCCAAAGTTCTGGAATTGCAGGCATGAACCACCATGCCCAGCTGGGTTTAAACTTTTTTGGGTAGTTTAAAAATAATATCTTTCACTTGTATAACATTGTATACTTGCTGAATCATAAAATGTTGGCATTGAAGGAGGCTCTACAGATAGTCTAGTTCAGCACAACTCAGTAATACAGCACACACACATGTCACCAAATGGCTCCCGGCTCCACTAATATTCAGGGATGTGTGGGGCAAGGGAGGTGGGGAACTATGTAAGTAATGTCGATAAGCCTTCCAGATGACTTTGACTACACCATTTTGCATTCTTTCAAAATGTTCCTCCATCTGTGGTCTTATATGATCTGTACAACAACTCTCAGACTTGTAGGGCAAGGAAAAATGAGGAAGCTGAGGCCTGGAGAGGCAAAGTGACTTCTTCAGGTTTATTCTCCTCCATTTTTATCATTCTCTAGAGACATTTCGCACAAGAATGTGGTACTGTTTAAAATTTTTTCTATAATGCAATATATTTGTCATGGTGGGAATGTGGTGGAGGAAGATGTGAAAAAACATTCTAAGTACTTAAGAATTAGGCTATTAGTTTATTTTTATTGTTTTAGCAGTGGTTAAAAAGTGAATTTGGTGAGTTAACTCACTCACGATAATAGTCCTTTGGGGTAGTTGATGAATTAACAAAAAAATTTCAGATGAAAAATCCGGGAGAGAAGAATATCTCAAAGTCATATATCTTTGGGGAACATTACTAGTACTACTTACCTGTATGTGCTTGCTAATATTAGTACTGCACTGAAAAGAACCTTATATACTGAATATGTCTACTTAACAACTTTTTTTTTTTTTTTTTTTTGAGTTAGAATCTCACTCTGTCATCCAGGCTAGGGTGCAGTGGCACCTTCATGCCTACCACAGCCTCAACCTCCTGGACTCAAGTGATCTTTCCATCTCAGCCTTCCAAGTAGCTGGAACTGCAGGAGCGCACCACCACGCCTGGTTAATTTTTTTATTTGTTGTGGAGTTGAGGTCTCACCAAATTTCCCACACTGGTCTCAAACCCCTGGGTTCAGGCAATCGTTTTATCTCCTCCTCCCAAAGTGCTGGGATTATAGGTCTGAGCCACTCCGCCTGACCTTACAACTTTTCACATAATTATTTAATGATCCAGTTAGAGTTCTCAAAAAATAACTTTATCTTATAGATTATTGGAAATGAGATAGAGAAAAGCTACTTTGCCTTGCTCAATAGTTCAAAAGATGAATGTTTAAGTGGAGTTATTTTATCTGCTTTCATGTTTAAATTGACTGATTAGAACCTGAAAAATAATATTTGGAAAATACGTTACCTACAAATAAGATTCAAAAATTGGCTGAGCATGATGGCTCATGCCTGTAATTCAAGCACTTTGGGAGACTGAGACAGGAGAATCACTTGAGCCCAGGAGTCGAGATTAGCCTGGGCAACATAGAGACCTTGTTGCTACAAAAAATTAAAGAAAAAGCTAAACAAACAAACAAAAAAACAACTAGCTGGGTGTGATGGTGCACTCCTGTAGTCCTAGCTGCTCAGGAGGCTGAGTCAGAAGGATGATCTGAACCCAGGAAGCCAAGGCTGTGATGAACTGGGATCTGTGGCTGCAGTGAACTGATACCATGCTACTGCACTCTAGCCTGGGCAACAGAGTGAGACCCTGTTTCAAAAAAAAAAAAAAGATTCAAAAATTAATGAATTTGCTTTTTGCTTACATTACTCACATTGAAAACCTGTATTTTGGAACAGAAAATCTATTAAGAGACAGATCTGGGACATTCTGCCTGATACTTTATTTCACCCTAACTCTTCATCAAGGGAAAATTAGTTCATTTTTTGAATCTGAGAGCAATGGTACCTTTCTTGCATAGTTTGAGGACTACATACAAAATAAGTAAGGTACCACATGTTTTATCTGACTTGTACTAGGTACTCAGTAAGTCATAGTTTTTATTGATTTACCCAATCTTTAAATTATTACCTACTATAATAACTAGAAGAACTTTAATTATGCTTTCCTATCAAATTCTCTTTTACCTTATTCTTCCACAGGTGTATCTACATCAGCAATCAAAATGGCATCAACCAGACTTCCTTCCCCCAAAAGCTTAGTCGGTGCGCCAACTCAGATTCTGGCACAGTTTCCTAAACAGCATCAACAGTCTCCTAAGCAGCAGTTACATCAAGTGCAACAGCAGACACAGCAGCAGGTGGCCCAGCCTTCTCCCGTATGTCATCAGCAACAGCCTCAGCAGTCTCCTTTGCCACCTGGTATTAAACCTACCATCCAAATCAAACAGGAATCAGGTAACTGGAAAATGTTTACAAGATATGCTAATTCTTCCCCCAGCACCAGTTATTTGAGTCTTTCAGTTCACAAATACAATATGTCTCTTCATTTATTTAGGTCATCATTCACTTCTTTCATCAGTGTTTTACAGTTTTCAGCATACAATTCCTGTATACATGTTTTGTTAGAATTATGCCAAAGTATTTTATTTTCTTGGAGTGATTATAAGTGGCATTTTGATTTCAATTTCCATATTTTTTTTGTTAGTATATAAAAATGGTGTTGCTCTTGTATCTTTTAATCTTGCTGAGCTCTCTTATTTAAGTTCTAGGGATATGTATATAATTGTTTCGTCTGTAAATAGGGGCAACTTTATTTCTTTTCAATCAATATGCCTTTTATTTCTTTTTGTTGTCTTGTTTTACTGTCTAGAACTTCCAATACTATATTGAATGAGTATGAGTAAGGGGGAGTGGACATCCTTGCCTTGTTTCTGATCTTTATTGTTGTTGTTGTTCCTGATCTTAAGGAGAAAGCGTTCAGTTTTTCACCATTAACTATGATGCCAGCTGTAGGTTTTTTGAGATGCTTTTTATCAAGTTGAGAGAATACCCTTTGTTTCCTAGTTTTTTGGGAGTTATCATGAATGAGTTGAATTTTGTTAAATGCTTTTTCTGTTCATTTTATATAATCATGTGTTTTTTAATGTTTAATCTACTGCTATGCTGGATTATATTGGTTGATTTTCTGTTATACCAGCCTTGCATATCTTAAATGAATCTTGTTATGGTATACATATATTTTTTTATAAATTGCTAGATTCAGTTTATGTCTTTATTCTTGAAAGATTTGAGTCTGTATTTTTCTTTTTTTTAATTTTATCAATATTTTTAATTTTGGTTTTGTGGGGTACAGTTAAGGGTTAGGTGTACAATTACGTTTCATTCAGGCACCCTGTTGATAAGAAGTATTTCCCCTTCCCCAGACAGATATTTGCTACTGTTAATCCCATCCCCCCTCCCATAGTTTCCCAGTACTGTCAGTCATTTTCTTATAGTATTACATTGTATGTTCAAGGTCCATTATATGAGTGAGAACATGTGATACTCGGATCTTTGTTTCTGTGAGAGGTCACTCAGTATTATAGACTCTAGTTCCATCCAGATTGCTGCAAAATTCACGATTGTTCTTTTTTATGGCTGTGTAGTATTCCATCGTGTATATGTACCGTATTTTTCTTATTTTGTACTGTCTTTGTTTTGGTTTCAGGATATTACTGACCTTATAAATGAGTTTGGAAATGTTCATTTCTTTTATTTTTTGGAAGAGATTATATAAGGTTGATGTTAATTTTTCAATAAATGTTTAGTAGAATTTTCCAGTGAAATCATCTGGGCCTAGAGATTTCTATTTTTGGAAACTTTTAATTTATAAATTCAGTTTCCTTAAATTATAGGACTATGTAGATTATCTGTTTCATCTTGATTGAGTTTTGGTAGTTTGTGGTTTTTAAGGAATTGGTCTATTTCTTCTAAGTTGTGAAATTTATGAGTAAATTTGTGGTAATTCCTTTTAGTGGCTACGGGATCTATGTTAATGTCCCATTTCATTTCTGATATTGGTGACTTGTATCTTTTTTATCTTTTCTTTGTCACACTTGCTAGAGGTTTATCAATTAGATTGAATTTTTTAAGAACTAGATTTTTTTTTGAGTTGGAGTCTCACTCTGTTGCCCAGAGTGGAGTGCAGTGGCACGTTCCCAGCCACCGCAGCCTCCACCTGCTGGGCTCTGGTGATCCTTCTGCCTCAGCCTTCCAAGTAGCTGGAACTACGGGCACGCACTACCACGCCCAGATAATTTTTTGATTTATTGTAGAGATGATGTCTTGCCAAGTTGCCCAGGCGGATCTCGAACCTGTGGGCTCAGGCATTCTACTCACCTCAGCTTCCCAAAGCGTGGGATTACAGGCTGAGCTACCGAGCCTGGCTTAGATTTTTGTTTTATTGATCTTTCCCATCATTGCTTTTCTGTTTTTAACGTCATAACCTTTATTATTTCCTTCCTTCTGTTTTCTTTGGGTTTATTTTGCTCTTCTGGTTTCTTGAGGTTGGGATTTATTTGATGGATTGAAAACAGGTTTTCTTTTTTAATTACTTAGCATTTACATCTACATCTACACCTATTTAAATACTTTGGTGTAAATTTCAGCAATGCTTTAACTGCATCCCACATATTTTAATATGTTATATTTTCATTTTCATACTTTTTTTGTGTGTGTGTGTGGAGATGGGTCTCACTATGTTGTCCACATTGATCTCAAACTCCTAGGCTCAGGTAATCCTCCCACCTTGGCCTCCCAAAGTTTTGAGATTACAGGCATTAGCCACTTCTCCCAGCCAATTTTATGTGTTTGTAAATTTCTTTTGAGACTTCCTCTTTGACCCATGGATTATTTAGAATTGTATTGTTTAATTTCCATACTTGGAGATTTTTTGTAATCTTTTTGTCGTTAATTTCTGTTTGATTCTCAGACTCTAGTCTGAGAATATACTCTATCATTGCAGTTTTTAAAAATTTATCGAGGTTTGGTTTTTGGTCCAGAAAATGTTCCATTTTGGTGAGTGTACCATGATACTTGAAAAGATATCTGTGCTGCTTGATGTTGGGTGGAGTGTGTACACACACACACACACACACACACACACACACACACACACACACACACACACCCCCAATTAGTTTCTATTGTTTGAGTGTATTGTTCAGTTTTCCTGTATCCATAGTGAATTTTCTGTATTATAGTTCTATCAGATATGTACAGTAGTTCTAGCTATGTTTTCTGTGTAGTAGTTGGTGAGAGTGAGGTATTAAAGTCCCCAGCTATAATTGCTGGATTTTAATACCTCAAAAATAGCTCTCTCAGGCCAGGTACAGTGGCTCAAGCCTATAATCCCAGCACTTTGGAAGGCTGAGACAAGAGAATCGCCTGAGTCCAGGAGTTAGAGACCAGTCTGGGCAACATAGTGAGAACATGTCTCTACAAAAAAATAAAAATTAGCTGGATGTGGTAGCACACGCTGTAGTCCCAGCTACTCAGGAGGCTGACACAGGAAGATCACTTGAGCCCAGGAATTGGAGGCTGCAATGAGCTGTGATTATGCCACTGTACTCCAGCCTGGGAGACAGAGTGAGGCCTTTAAAAAAAAAATCCTCCCTCAGTTTTTGCTTCATGTATTTTGATGTGTTTATTGTTTGGTGCATACATATTTAGAAACATGCCTTCCTGTCATATTGATCCTTTCTCATTGTGTACTGACCCTTTCCCCTTTTTTTCTCCAATAATTTTCTTTGCTCTAAAGTCTACTTTTTTAAATGTAAAGGCTGATGTTTAACCTTATTTCCATTCTTAGCGTTTTATTTCAACTTAAATTTGTAAAATTTTCTATGTAAACCAAATGATGATAACCACCCTGCATTGATATATTTAATCCATGTAATAAACTACAGTGATTTCTATTCTACTAGGTATCATGTTGATGGGATAGAGTGAGTTCTTTTGCCTTCTAAAAATCTAAAGTCTACTTTATCTGTAATTAATATAGCCACTCCTGTTTTCTTTTCATTCATGTTCATATGGTATATCTTTTTCCATCCTTTTGCATTCAATCTAGTTGTGTTTCATTTGAAATTTCTTTTAGATGGCATATGGTATGATTTTATCCATTCTGACAATCCTTAAGTTTTAAATTATATATTTAAATCACATACATTGAAGGTAATTATTGATATGGTGTGCCATTTCATTGTTTTCTGTTTCTTTCTTCCACTCTTTTCCCCATTTCTCTTTTCTTGCCCAGCTATGATTTGCTTAAAGAATTTTTAGGATTTTATATTCATTTATTTATCTTATTTTTCAGTGTATTATAATGTTCTGCTTTCTTAATGTAGCTTATTGTATGTCAATATACATGCGTTATTTATCACAGTTGACCTTTTCACCACATATTACTCTCTATTTGGAATAATTTTATCTTTCTATTTAAAATGGAAGATTTCACTGTACCTAATGTTAGTTAACATATAATACCTCCTATTTCTGCAAGGTTCCAGTTTCTAAGGTCTATATTTGTTGCATTTTTTTTTCTTTTTAGTTTTTTTCTTTTCGTTGGTTGCATTTTTATCTGTGACTCAATTATTATATTTTAATTAATTAATTAATTTGTTTTTTGTTAGAGACAGGGTCTCACTCTAACGCCTAGGCTGGAGTGCAGTGGTACAATCACTGTGATCTCCAACTCTTGGGGCTCAAGCGATCCTTCCACCTTGGCCTCCAAAAGCTCTTGGGATTTTAGGTGTGAGCCAACTGTGCCTTTCCGATATTTTATGCTTTTGAATAGAGAGTGCATTCATCAAGAACTGAAAAGTATAGAGTGAATAACTTGTCCTCTATCCTTGTCTTCTGTCTAGCTGTCCCTCATGATTAAAAAAAGTCTTAGTTTTTTTACATAATTTCAGAGACTTTGCATATACAAGCAAACTTAGATGTAGATTCTTATACCTCCCCTCCTTTTATACACCCATAAAATGTAACACACGCACATTTCCATCTCCTCCCCCTTCCAGCCTTCTCTTTTTTCCCCCATGTGCTCACTTCATGTCTGTGTAACATTTTGGTAGTTCTTGTACTGTTTCAGACTTTTTCATTATTTATTATATCTGTTATGGTGATCTGTGATCAGTGATCTTTTATATTACCATTGTAATTTTGGGGGGCTGCTGCGAGCCATCCTCTTGTAAGATTTTGAACTTAATAAATGTGTGTGTATTCTAACTGCTCCACTGACTGGGCATTCCCTTGTCTCTTGCCCTCTCCTTGGACCTCCCTGTTCCCATAGACATAACGATAATGAAATTAGGCCAATTAAGAACTTTACAGCAGTCTCTAACTTTTTAAGTGAAAAGATGAGTTACATGTTTGTCTCTTTACATCAAAAACTAGTTTAGTGAAGAAGCCAT